GTTTCATTACTCTTGGCAACCACAATCTGAACATTTTAAGTGGAAAATATCAGAAATAATTCCTGAGTTTTAAATGGGCACCTAAACAATTCCTGTTTTAAATTGCACACTGCACCATTCTGATGAACATGATTAAATCTCATGCCATACCACTCCATCCCTCCCCAGGATTTGCATCATCCCTTTGCCCAGTATCCACACTGTATATACAACCTGCCTATTAGTCACTTAATAGCCTTCTTGGTTATCAGTTTTACTGCCTAAGTATCACAGTGCTTATATTCATGGAACCCTTATTTTACATGATAGTGGCCCCAAAGTGCAAGAGTACTAATGGTGGCAACTTGGATATACAAAAGAGAAGCCATAAAGTGCTTCTTTTAAGTGAAAAGGTAAAAGTTCTTGACTTAATAAGGAAATTTTTTAAATGCTGAGTTTGCTAAGATCCATGGTCAGAACAAATCTTCTATCCCCGAAATTATAAAGGAAAAAGAAATTTTTGCTAGTTTTGCTGTCACACTTCAAAATGAAAAAGTTGCAGCCACAGTGCATGTTAAGCACTTAGTTAAGATAGAAAAGTCATTAAAATTGTAGGTGGAAACATCACCAAAAAAAGTTCCTATTGACAGCAGTCGGGTTCAGTACTATCAGTGGTTTCAGACATCCAGGGATCTTGGAACATATCTCCCAAGAATAAGAGGAAACTACTGTAGTCTGTTTTCCTACAGTGGTGCTATTGCTGATATTTTCATATTTTTAAAAATTTGCTAATATTTTTATTTATAATCCTTAATAATTCCATAGCAGATCTTGTTTTGCAGGTAATTTTTTTAACCTTTTGTCAGTAGATAGGCATTTACTTCATTTCCTATTGATACTTAGTTGCCTCTTTTTTCTGCTACACAGTATTACAATAATAACTTTCTGAAGACATGTCATGTGCTGGTAGATTTTTGTGAAAAAGGTTTCTGGGTTGAAGGATATGGCATATTTCTAATTTGATGGATGTTGCCATATTGCTTTCTCAGTAGGCTGTTAACCTTTACACTTCCTTACAACAATGTATGATCCTGCCCCCTTCCCACTTGCCCAGCAAAGATACATATTATTTATGTTATTTTTTCCAGCCAGTAAAGAGAAGTCTTAGTTACTTTTAATTATGTTTTCTCTTCCTTTAGTAATTTTGATTATGTTACTGTTTGCCATTCAGATTGGTTTTTCTGTGCATTTTCAATTCTATCCTTTGACCATTTTTCCTGTTGGATTGTTGGTTTTATCAGTGCATACATTTGCACACATGCATGTGTGCTTGCCCTATCCGTGTGTCCATGCATGCAAACACACCCACACACACACCCCTACCTGTCCTTATTAAGAAATCCATCCTGACCTCCAGATTCTAATTTGCTTTCTTGGGTTTTCTTACAATATTTTTTATTCCTTACATTTAAATATTTGTTTTTAAAAATATCATATAAAAGGAGAATCTTAATTTTTCTCCAGAGCAGTGCTGTCCAATAGAAATACAATGGAAGCGAGCCAGGTGCAGTGGCTCACATCTGTGATGCCAGCACTTTGGGAGGCCAAGGTAGGTTGATCACTTGAGGTCCGGGGTTTGAGACCAGCCTGGCCAACATGGCAAAACCCCATCTCTACTAAAAATACAAAAAAATTAGCCAGGCCTGGTGGCTTAAGCCTGTAATTCATTCCAGCTACTTGGGAGGCTGAGGCAGGAGAATCACTTGAACCCAGGGGGCAGAGGTTGCAGTAAGCCCAGATCGCGCGACTGTACTCCAACCTGGGTGACAGCGAGACTGTCTCAGAAAAGGAAATATAATGCAAGCTGCTTATGTGATTTTAGGTTTTCTAATTATAGCTGCGTTAAAAAAGGTAAAGAAAAACAGGTAAAATTAACTTTAATAATATATTTTATTTTACCAACCTAACCCATTATATTTAAAATATTATCATTTTAACATTTGTAATTTTAAACAATTACAAATAAGATATTTTATGTTCTTTTGTATACTAAGTCTTTGAAACCTAGTGTATATTTTATACTTACATCACTATATCTATGGTTAAGTGCTATTTGTGGGGCTCAGAACTCATACTCAAAAATATGGTGCTGTGGCATAGTGAACTGAAGAAACCCAAAGTTCTCTGGGACCTCCCCATCCCCTACCTCCTCTCTCAAATAAGTTGAAGTTTCTTTATCTGCCTGAGATCTACACCCACCAAGGGGAACTGTTGTTTTTTCTTGCCCTCCTTTGTAAGACTCAGAACTACCCACACCTGAACAGACCCTTTCACTGTCAAAGAGAACTATTTACATGTTAATCTCTGTTCCCAGATCCATTCATTCTCGCTCACAGCAGCTCCTCCAAGCAGCGCAGAGTCCCCATTGCTTCACATTCTCTCAGTTCTTGGTGTTTTCGGACTTGAATTTTGGCCATTTTTACTGAGTATTTTCCATGATTACAAATAAGATAGTATATATTGTCCTATGTTTATAGGCCATTTGGTATTCTCTATTTGGTATTCTGAAACATCTATTTTGCTCACATTTTTCCATTGAGTCATCAACCTTTTTCTTATGAAGGAGTTTTTTGTTTATTTTTTAGAAAAAATAACATTCATTTCTGACAGTTCCGGAGGCTGGGAAGTCCAAGGTCAAGGGGATGCATCTAGTCAGAGCCTCTTTACCCATGGGAACTCTGCAGAATCCTGAGGTGGTATGGGGCATCACATGGCAAAGGAGCAGAGCATGCTGGCTGAAGTCTCTTTTCCTCTTATAAAGCCACTGGTCTAACTCCCATGATAACCCATTAATCCGTGAACATCTCTTAAAGACCCCACCTGTCAATACTGCCACATTGAAGGTTAAGTTTCAACATGAGTTTTGGAAGGGACAGACATTCAAACCATTGCATTCTGCCTGTGGTCCCCCAAACCCATGTTCTTCTTACATACAACTACATTTATTTAATCCCCATGTCCACAAGGTCCTAACTTGTTTCAGCATCACCTCAGAAGTCCAAAGTTCCATCTGTGAAATCAAAACAAGTTATCTACTTCTAAGGTACAATGGCAGGATGGGCATAGGATACACATTCCCATTTGAAAAGGGAAAAGTAAGCCAAAAGAAAGGGTTAACAAGCCCCAAGCAAGTCCAAAGCCTAAGAGGGCAGACATTAAATCTTAAAACTGGGGAATAATCACCCTTGACTCTGTATCCAGCATCCCCTGTACCTGGAGGCGTTCCTTTTTTTTTTTCCTTTTGTAGAGACAGAGTCTTACTATGTTGCCCAGGCTGGTGTCAAACTCCTGGCCTCAAGCACTCTTCCTACCTTGGCGTCCCAGAGCCCTGGGATTACAGGCATGAGCCACTACGTCTGGACTGGAGGGATTCTTTATACAGTCTGTAATACGGATTTGTGTCCCTTCCCAAATCTCCTGTCGAATTAAAATCCCCAATGTTGGAAGTGGGGCCTGGTGGGAGGTGATTGAATCTTGGGGGTGGATTTTCCCCTTGGTGCTGTTCTTGTGATAGTGAGTTCTTGTGAGATCTGGTTGCTTAAATGTATAGCACCTCCCCGCTCTCTCTCTCTTTGTCCTACTTCTGTCATTTAAGATGTGCCTGCTTTCTGTTCACCTTTGGCCATGATTGTAAATTTCCTGAGGCCTCCTCAGAAGCAGAAGCTACTGTGCTTCCTGTATAGGTCGCAGAACCGTGAGCCAATTAAACCTCTTTTCTTTATAAACTGAACTACCCAGTCTCAGGTATTTCTTTATAGCAGTGCGAAAACAGACACATACAGTCTGGATATAAGCTCTTTGTCCTTTGTATGTGAATCTGGATGTAGTAGTACAGTGCATTTAGTTTTGCTTCATAAGCATTTATTATGATTCCTGCATCTTCCTGTATATGCTTTACTTAAGTAAACAGATCTATAAAAATGTTCCTTAGAAGATTTTTTAAATCTTCCTTTCCCCGACGCATAACTACTATAATAAACAGCTTCTTGCCTTAGAGACTGCTGCAGGTTTTACTATTTTACAACCTGGCCTTTAGTACTGACGTTAGGCAAACTCAATGTTGTTTAATAGTGTCAAAGAAAATACTGAATGATCTCCTCATAATCACACCGAGATTTTCCAATTTGTATTGATAGTAGGGAACTTCTGGTGATCTGGGCTAAGGAGTAAGAGTATGAAAATAGAATTTAGAATATTTTGCTTAGGAGTAGAAGTCCAAATGGATAAGACAAAAAAAGGGACCAGAGACAAGACTATCAGAGAGGAAATGGATACTTAATGTGAATTGAAGGAATGTTTGAACTAGACTAAAAACCAAAACTACAAATGAGAAGTACAGGGAAACCAGGTGTAAGTGTGTGCTGAGCAGTAGCTAGAAGCTTGGTGTGGCTGTGACTGAGGTGCCTGAAAGGGCCTGGGCTTTGCAGAGGTGTGTTGGAAGGTGGCGGGCTAGGAGGTCCTCTCTTCCCTGCCCGCCTTCCGTCCTTCCATGAGGTAATGCATGCATGGGGTTGGGGACTGGCAGACAGGTAAGGACTTTGTCTACTAGGAGAGAAGAGAGTGAATGGGAGGGTGGAAGTGGAACAGGAGGAGAAAATTACTTAGATATGAAAACCCTGAAAAGTAATATAGCTATATCATGATATACACGGTGCTCCATGCTATAATTTTAAAAATAAGAGATTTTTGAAGTCAGACCATCAGAAGTTCAAGTCTAGAAGTTTAGTCCTTTACTAGTTATAGCTTAATTCAATTTATTCTTAAGTTATAACTAGTAATTTACTAGTTATGTGACTTCAAACAAATTACCTTTTTAAACTTTTAAACAGTGTATATACTAGTGTCATAAAAGTGATTTTCTGTAAAGCAATGGTTTAGTTAATGCCATATTTGTAATATGAAAGTTATTTATAAAGAGCTTGATAATACTTTTTATGATTAAAAAAAATCACTGTCACTCATATGATTAGTATATTTTATTTAGGCTAACTGCAGCATCCAAGATGCATGGTGATGAAATTACAATTGGATTATGTCTGTATTTCTTCTGGAAAACAGGACTTGAATGCAAAGGCAGCACCAAGCAAATCTAGAGTGAAGAGTCTCAACAAATAGTTTAACAAGATAGTGTCAGGCCAGAGATGATGTGTTTAGTAGAAATTCGAGAATACCCCATTATTTGAAGTTTTCCTATATTGTTGTACTGGAAATGTTTCACTGTATTCAGTCAACTGAGTGGGTACATGGAATTTTGATATTGCACCTGATTTTGTCCCATAGAACAATTTATTCCTCCAACACCTCACTCAAATTCAGGAATTTGCATGGGTAGTCATTCTGATGCATATCTCCAAGCTTGTATCTTCCTCCCACTGGCAATGATTCGTTACAGTCTCTGACTATATCTACATGTGATGTGTAAGATGTCTGACAAAAGTCAGAGAAGCCCGTTGTTGTTTTGTCTCCAAATCTAAGGATCAGTGCTTTTGCCACATTGGGCTGCTTCTGTTTGAAAAAGACAAGTGTCGGGGTGGGAGAGATTGCTGGTTATCTTCCAATACGTGCCTTCCTCTTCTTGCTGAATAAAAATTTTTAGCTGGGCACATGGCTGGATGAATACAAGTTACATTTTTCAGAATCTCATGCAACCAGGTATGGCCATGTGACTGGCCAGTGAGGGTGAGCAGAGATGGTGTGTGCAGCTTCTGGTTCGTGCCCCTTGCTTTGTCCCACTGTTTGGAGTGCAGTGCAGGTATGGCGGTAAGCCCTCTCAGACCATGCGGTGGGCCCAGTTCCTTAGGGTAGTCATCTCCAGACTTTGCTGCATGTTAGAATTACCTGGGGAACTTTAAAAATCCCAGTTCCCAGGTCACACCATGTGTACCAATCAAATGAGAATGTCTCAGGGTGGAAGCCAGATATCGTTGTTTTAAAAAATCAAGTGATTTCAGTGTGCAGCAGAGTTTGGGAACCACTGCCTTGGGAGTTCCAGAGCAGGAACACTGAGGAAGTCTATGTTGCTGACAGCATTTTAGTCCAGGACTACTTACAACAAGACTATCACATGTCAGAGAAACAGACTTCTACCTTGCCAAGCTAGACACTATTTCAGTGTCTCGTGGAGTGATCATCTCTAAATTCCTAAAAAGTCATAAGATTTAGTTTTCAGTAGGCCCATTGTGATACCATCTTGAGGATACAAGTTCTTCTTTTGATTTTGCTAAGTACTCCTTGGTAAAAATCAGTGGTGGATGGGGCAGCATTGTCAGTGCTTCGCGTTCCTAATTTGGTCTTAGTATCAAAAAGAGCCATCAGTTCCCGGTGCTCATCATTGGTCCCTTGGCCTTCTTTATTTCCCACTCTTTGCTAGTTAAATTTAGGGGCTCAATGGGTAGGTGATCCCAGTACTTGTGGCCACTTATGCAACACAGATTGATTTATTCTTGATAACTTAGTGTGCTTTCTCCATTTTGGTCAATGATGTGGGTGGTCATCCAGGTAGATATCCTGTCCTATTTTCCAGTTGCGAGTTTCTCACTTCCTAATTGGTTTTCCTACCTTCAGTCTTGCCACCCTTTGATCCACTTGTACATTATGGAAAGAAGTAACTCTAAAACAAGACACTGTAACTGCTGGTTAACAGCCTTCATTAACAGCTTTTTGTCTCAAAGTCCAAACACAGGTCTTTCATCATTCAGATTTGAAGAGCCACCACTTTCCTTGCCATGGTGAGGACCAATGTTACTATATTACATTCATTCCTGTTGAATGAGATGCAGCTTTAGATTTTCTTCACTGTACTGTATTCCAAGTTAGAGTTGGCTCAAAAGATGAAAGATGTCATGGTTTGGGTTTACCAAGAAGCAGACTGTGAGATAAGAATGTGAGTATAAGTAGTTTATTTTAGAGGTGATTTTAAGAAATCTCCCAGTTACACTGTGGACATTTGTATCTCAATCCCACTGAAAAACTCAACACTGGAATAGTTCTCAGTTATACCATCCAAGGGGGGAAGAAGCTGGAGCATTTATTTGCCAACTGCCATTTTGCCGTTGGTTGAGTGCTGCTTTCAGGGATATTAAGCTTTCCTTTGGTGCAAATTAAGCATCCCAGTCAGCCAGAAAAAAGTTTACTGAAAGAGCAGTTAGTAGCTTTCACACAGAGGTGAATGCCTGAGGCAGGGCTAGCTCCATGGGCATATACCTGTGGAGTTGGTTTACTGGTCTACTGCTATCCTCTTGAAATTCTTGAACAAGGGACCCCACGTTTTTGTTTTGCACAGGGATTCACAAATTCTGTAGCCAGATCTTGGTCTAAGGGAATATAAATGGTAGCTTCTGTTACAAAACCTATTTAAGCAGTAGCTTCTGTTACAAAACCTATTTGTCATTCCTGTGAATTTCTAAGCAGGGACCATTTTTATGCCTGCTGTCTGGTACTATGCTTGCCACTGAATATACTCAATGAATGTTTGTTTTAAATGATTAAATTTTCTTTCCTACTTTAATTTTTTTCACAGGCACAGTGAAAAACCCGAGGACCCTTACCTCAAGTGTCCTTTGCTCCCAGCTACTGATACTGGATTCCACTCATGATTCTCCCTTTGTTAGCGCATTCATGATATGGACGTCAGTGTCTGAGCTGGAGGAGGACAAAGGCAGAGGTCCTGTGAATTCTATGCTCTAGCTCGGATTAAGGGATTTGGAATTGCACTTGTTCCAGAGGTATGTTAGAGGCAGGAAGAAATCACATAGTGGGTATCTTGTAGGCAGGAAGAGTACTTACAAGGACTTGAAGACTATGTTAAAGGTTCTTGTGTTAGTTATCTATTGCCCTGTTTTTCTCCAAAGATTAATGGTTGAAAACAATAAACTTGTCTCACAGTTTGCGTGGTTAGGAATCTGGAAATGGCATAGCTGAGTGGCTCTGGCTCAGAGTCTAATGTGGTTCCAGTTGATATCAGCTGGGAATGCAGTTCTGAAAGTGTGAGCAGGGCTGGAGGATCCTCTTCCAAGGTGGTTCACTCATGTGCCTGGCAGTGTGCTGGGTGTGCCTGAGGCAGAAGGTGTGTTTCCTGTCACATAAATCTCCTTTTAGAGTATCTTCATGGCATGGCTGCTAGCATCCTCCAGAGCAAGTTATTTAAGAGCGAGAGCAGGGAGAAAGCTACAGTGTTTTTAATGACCTAATTCACATCTATCACTTCTGTTTGTTAGAAGCAAGTCATCGAGCACTGACCACACTCAAAGGGAGGGGAATTAGGCTCTGCCTTTTCAAAGGAAGCATATCAAAGAACGCGTAGATGTATATACAAAAACCACAAGGTTTTTAAAGAGTGTCATATTATAGAGCCTTCAGAAGTAAATTCTCATGCCCTTTACCTTACCTGTGAAGTTGCTAATCTGATACTAATTGTTCATTCTCCTGCTGTTCTGCTCAGTGTCCCTTCCTGTGTGTTGATACAATAACTAGGGTTTATAACCATCCTCTGAGAAGATAAAAAAGTTGGGCATATAGAAGGAAAATAGATGTACTGTGGAGTGGTGGTGGTATACATTCATTTCCTAGGGCTGCTTTAACAAGCTACCAAAAACTGGGTGGTTTAAAACAACAGAAATGTATTCTCTCAAAATTCTGGAGGCCAGAAGTCTGAAATCCAAGTGTCAGCCAGGTTGGTTCCTCCTGGAGGGTCTGAGGGAGCATCTCTTTCCTGCCTCTCTCCCAGCTTTTGGCATTTGCCGGCAATCTTTGGCATTCTTTGGCTTGTAGACTCATCACTCCAATCTCTCCCTCCATCTCTGTGGGTGTGTCTCTCTGCATCCAAGTTTCCCTCTTACAGGGAAACTAGTTGTTGAATTAAGGGTTCACCTTTAATTCAGTATGACCTCATCTTAACTTGATTGTATCTTCAAAGACCCTATTTCCAAATAAGATTACATTCTGAGGTTCTGGGTGGACCTGAGTTTGGGGGACACTGTTCAAACCAGTACAGGGTATAGATATTAAAATTCATGGGTGTCTCTAGATACTCTTCACCAGAGAAGAGACTTTCTGTGACACTACAATAGCCAGATGTCCCTGATGCAGGCATGGAGTTGGGCATGAACTAGTCAGATTGTAGGACTGTGGCTGCTACTAGCTCATGTGTACATACCTAATTATAGGAAACTAAGAAAATTAGTATTAAGTACAAGAGGCTGAAAATGGTAATAGTGTGAAGATTATTCCTCAGACCACTTTTCTGTGCCGTTATTGTCAAGTGGTCCTGGGAAATGGACTTTATCAAGTCTGACTCTTACGTTACCACCTTGCTTGAGTGCTCAGTGCCATGAGATCGTCCCAGAGGTGATCCCTTGCATACCCTGGTCTATAGGCAAAGCCTTGTTTTCAAATCACACAAGTAAAAGATGTGCTCCACTAAGTGACATTTCAGTGGAAGAATCAGGATATGGATAGAGGAAGCACTTTTACCTCTTGACTGGTGTTTCATAGACTAGGAAAGTATGGAACTTGATTTCCCTGTTTTTCAAACTGGCTCTATTTCTTTAGGAAGGGACCGAAAGGAGCTGCCCCTAGTATAGTGAGCAAATAGGTTTTCTATAAATATTAAATTAAGCAATTTTTTTCTCATAGGGATAGCTGTTGGCATAATAGTAGCTAATGATTATCTATAGTGACTTGTCTCATTTGACTTCCACAACATCAGTATATGATAGGTTTCATTACCCTGTATCTCTCCCCACCATTGCCATCCATCAAAACTAAATTATTGATGGTTTCCTAAATCTAATGCCCTGTTGCATCGCTTGATGCTTTTACTTTCCTCTTCCTGGATTTCCCTTTGCTTATATTGTGAAACCCTCCTAATCTTGCTCTAAACATCAGGTTGTTAATGTTCTTCTCTATACTACTTTTATATGTTTAACTAGTATTGTTGGATTATTGATATTTTCATATCTGAACTGTGCTACACTGGAGAGCTACTTTAGCATGGAGATTGATTTTGTTTTTCATTCCCTAACAGTGCCTAACACATGGGGTGGGGGTGGGGGCTCAGTTCAAAGAAGGAACCCAGCATGATTGAGTAATTTGCCAAAGGTCACACATCTGGTGTGTGGCCGAGCTAGAAGAATCATCCAGATCTTTAGCCACTCACCAATTATAAATTAAAAAAAACTGTCCAAGGACTAATCCTGGGTCAACAGCTCTTGTGTTACTCTACCTTGGTGAGATATTTTACCTTTGTGAAATTTTCTTTATCATTTGTAAGGCTATTTCTAGATCCATGAACTGCAAGTTCTGTTTTTATGCATTTTTCCCTAAGGAATTTGAAAAGGTCTCAATATTCTATTCTATATATTCTTTTAAAAATCAATGTCTGAAGAGGGAAGTTGGCTGTAATGTAGGTGTAGAGAATGTCCTTCTCTGGCTTAGAGTATTAGGAAGTCGGACTAGGCATTCTGTAGGGCCCAGGGGTCCTCTTGACTGTTGTAGCCTGAGTCTTCATACCTCCCCGAACACTCTCCATTGATGACTGTATGGCCCTTTATTCGTTCTTTCCCTCATCAGCATGTTGAGATGTCACATTTCCTCAGCAGTCTTGCTGGTGTGAGTGTCCTGCTTTGGGCTGGGGCTGGGGGCGTTTTTTTTTTTTTTTCCCCTGCTGTCCAAGGTCCTGAAGACGTGTTTCTGTGTTTCCTGAAAGTTTCTCAGTTTCCCAAATGCAAGTTTGAGATTTTGTTTTTGAAGAAATTAAAGAGATGATAGGTGACCTGCTAATGACTTATTGGAAGTCATAGGAGAATGGAAGGAACTACCCAGGTGATGGTGATAGAGTTTGATTTGATTTGATTTGATTTTTAGACAGAGCCTTGTTCTGTTGCCCAGACTGGAATGCAGTGGTGCAGTGGCGAATTCTCAGCTCACTGCAACCTCCGCCACCTCCCACGTTCAAGTGATTCTCATGCCTCAGCCTCCCAAGTAGCTAGGACTATAGGTATGCACCACCATGCCCAGCTAATGTTTTGTATTTGTATTTGTATGGGGTTTTGCCATGTTGCCTGGGTTGGTCTCGAACTCCTGAGTTCAGGCAATCTGTCTGCCTCAGCTTCCCAAAGTGCTAGGATTACAGGCATGAGCCACCACACCTGGCCCAGATTTTCTATTCTTTTGTATTTCTCTCTCTTCTAGTCCCTTTCCTTTGGCTTTTTTTTTTTTTTTTTTTTTTCCAGACGGAGTCTTACTCTGTCACCAGGCTGTAGTGCAGTGGCATGATCTCGGCTCACTGCATCCTCCACGTCCTAGGTTCAAGTGATTCTCCTGCCTCTGCCTCCCAGTAACTGGGACTACAGGCACATGCCACCATGCCCAGCTAATTTTTGTATTTTTAGTAGAGCTAGGGTTTCACCATGTTGGCCAGGATGGTTTCAATCTCTTGACCACGTGATCTGCCTGCCTCGGCCTCCCAAAGTGCTGGGATTACAAGCGTGAGCCACCTTGCCCTGCCTCCTGTGGCTGTCTTATTGAGTCATTTATCTCTGCTTTGCTTGTTGCTCTGGTCTCAGTCTTGTGATTTACTCCTAGAGGTGCTGGCAAGCCTGAGCTCAGATTTAGGAATAATGGTGTTGGGATAGGAGAAGGATAAGATAGGGACCAGCAGTTGATGAAAAGGAAGGGTGGACATATTCATCATAGGGGTTTCAGGAACTCCATTATCTTACACTCAGCCCCTTTGTTATCTCTGTGATCAACACGGTGTTGTCATCAATCAGCCCCCAGATTCACTTCAGTAAATCTGTAAAGAATAACCATGTCCTCCTCATCCCACGAATTCTCGTGCGTAGAAAGCCACCTGAAAGTGATAGCCCTTAAAGTCCTCAGTCTGCCCCTTTAGAGCACCACAGAAAGATCTGTGAATGGAGATCCTGACCCTTCAGTTATGGAACTACTGGGAAGAGATATTTGGAGATTACATGGAGGGCTAGTAACATCACTTTCTTTTCCCTTTATCCTCATTTTTTTCCCTTAAGAAAAACACACACACACAGCAATTTCTTTGCTATTTGCTGTTGGTATCCAGTATGCCAGTGCTTTGTTAATTAATGAGATATGTTTTCCCTTCCTGTATGCCTATTTTAATTGTCAATTTCTGATATCTCTAAACATGTCTTTGTTGTCCCCTCCCTCCATTTCCACTTCCACTGTCCTGTTTCAGTTCTGGACTATAACAATTGCCTCCCTACCTTTATCTGAGCATTTGGTCTCACTCTCTTGTCACACTGCCAGTCTTTGGCCTCCTCAGTGATATTCTAACAAAAAACTCTGACTGTAGTATTCCCCTACTCATCTTTAATGATTCCCCTTCACCTCTTGAGTAAAATCTAAATCTCTTTGGAAAGGCGTTTGAGGTTCCTCATGGTCTTGTCCATTGGACTGGACTAAGGTTATAGATTAGAGACTTGTGAGGAAGAAAAACCAGTTCTAGAGAAATAAAGGCATGGGATCTTTGCGCACTTACAAATGCAGAAAGAGAAGGTTTAAAACCATCTTTCTAGAATCTGCCCTTTGGCTGGTGAGAAGAGCAAAGTTGATCCTTCTGTTTTGTTGACCTGAGACAGCACTTTCTTCAGAAACCCAGATCTTTACAAACTCCTCATGGAAATTACCCTATATCTCTGCAATAGAGGAAGGGCGTGGAGCATTGAAGATACCCATTAAGAGTTCACTTTCCAAATATTGAAAGAGTTCCTAAGAAACAAGTTTTATTAAGGTTCTGTGTTAGACACTGTGCTAGTTCCCATGGATATAGAGTAATCAAGACCAACATGATCTCTTGTTATAGGAAGCTGAGCCCATATCTGGGAAGACAGACAAATGATTCCAAAATATTTCTCTAGGAAAACAGCCTATTCCACACCAACTATAGTTTTGATCATAACTCTTTTAAAGTTGGATATTTTCATATTCCTCTTTTTTCTTAAAATCATAAATCTCTCTCCATTTCCTTCTCTTTTGCTTTCAAATCAGCATTTTTAAAAGTCATTTCTTGGCCAGGCACGATGGCTGATGTCTGTAATCCCAGCACTTTGGGAAGCCAAGGCGGGTGGATCACCTGAGGTCAGGAGTTTGATACCAGCCTGGCCAATTGGCAAAACCCCCATCTCTACTAAAAATAAAAAAATTAGCTGGTGCGGTAGTGTATGCCGGTAGTCCCAGCTACTCAGGAGGCTGAGGCAGGAGACTTGCTTGAACCTGAGAGGCAGAGATTGCTGTGAGCTGAGATTGCACTGCTGCACTCCAGCCTGAGCAATAGAGCTAGACTCCATTAAAAAAAAAAAAAAAAGCCAGGCCAGGTGTGGTAGCTTACGCCTGTAATCCCAGCACTTTGGGAGGCTGAGGCGGGCAGATCATGAGGTCAGGAGATCAAGACCATGCTAACCAACATGACAAAACCCTATCACTACTAAAAATACAAAAATTAGCCAGGCATGGTGGCGCATGCCTGTAATCCCAGCTACTCCGGAGGCTGAGGCAGGAGACTTGAACCAGGGAGTCGGGGGTTGCAATGAACTGAGATCACGCCACTGCACTCCAGCCTGGCGACAGAGCGAGACTCCGAATTAAAAAAAAAAAAGAAGCCATTTCTTGATCCTGTTTACCTGTGTAACACCATCTTCTCTTTTGCTGCAGTGAAGTTGTCTGTATTTGTCCTCATTTCCTCAATTCTCATCATTCTTGAACTTCTGTAGTCCTCCTTTCTTTTGCTACTCAATTTACACTATCCCCATGGTCATCAGAGGTTTTTCCCTTGGTCTCCTTTATGGCACCTGACACCACTCAAGCTACTACCTCACGTCTACATTTGCTCTCTTTCGTCCCAGAAAATTATTGGATACGGTCTAGGATATAATTGCTCCCCTTGTCCCCACATATACTACACACACCTTGCCTCTTCTACAAACCTATCCAGAATCTTAATTCCCCTCACATTCCCAAAATGAGCTGAGCAGTCTTTGAAGTAAAAATTAAGCTATAGTTAAGTTTTACCTCCATTTCACTTGTGCGTTTTGCTCCTTTTTTTTTTTTTTTTTTTTTTTTGACCTCTTTCAAATGATCCTTGGGCTTCGAGTACCATGATCTACCCAGATTTGCATTCCCTGGGCTGTGTTCTAGTTCTGGTCATGTCAGCTTTTCCCTTCTGATGAATCCTTGTAATTACTTGAGACTCATTCTGTCAGGCAATATCCACAGTGAAGAAGCCAGTGTGCATTGTGGCAAAGCCCAGGAAGACCTAGATGTGGATTTTTGCTTTACCATTTCCTGCCTGTGTGACTTATGCCATGGGGCTTCACTGGTGTGGGCACCAGTTTCTCATCTCTTAGCTGATATCATTTTGTTGGGAGGATTACATAGAGTAATATGTGTAATATATCTGATAACTAAGCAGTTTCAGTTAGTGGTAGTTGTTTTTATTTGACATAGTCTTGGTAAGTATTAATTTCTTCCTAAGCCCAGGGTATTTGTATTTTGACAACAAATAAGTTTTAAAGAAATCAATCTATACATATTATGGAAATTTGGACCCCTATTTCCTAGTTGAGGAAAGGTATCTGGCACCCATCACCACACAGGAGCCCCTGGGCTCCAGGACACCAGGGAAAAGAGGTTAAGTAGGTCCCACTCCTCTGACATGATACCCAGTGATTCAGTCAGGGTACAATTGGGAAAACAGAACCCATACCACAGGGACTGGTTACAAAAGTCTTGAACAGCTAAATGCAAAACAGGATGGTTAGGTTGCATTATGTTGACAACAGTGACTCAGGTGGGCAGGCCCTACCTCCTTGAGGTGTTATCTGTGGACAGATTTTTGTGCGATTGTGGGTCAACCCTGGATTTCTTTCTTCAGGTGCCTGTTCTTAATGGGCCCAGGAGAGGTAATTCAAGGGAGCAAGGGACCTGTAGAATGATCATGTCCTCTTATTTCTAGCCATAAGGTTATGAATCGTGTATCTCGGGGGTCTGATTCTAAAGGAAATAAGTGTCTGTCATAGCAGGAGAATGGAAGGCAGACAGCTGTTCCTATTACTAGAGTTTTAGCAGCCCCCGTAACTCAGCTAGCCCAGACTAGGATCTCAATATCTCACTTATTTCTTTACATCTGTCTGATGAACAGTATAAGAAAACAAATGATCACTTAGAGGATTCTGTTTGGTAGTTAAAATCGTATTAAAATAGAGAGGGTAGAAATTAAGCCTCATTGATGGTGAAGAGATTGGGAACCACCACTCCAGTGTTAGAAAATATCAAATGACAGAAGGTGGGCTATATTAAGTGGGAATTCCCAAACCCCACCCCCTGGAAGGAATGCTTGGGGACAAGCCTTAGAGGAGAGAGATGCTTGTCTAGCCCATTGTCTGTGTTCCCAGAAAGAGATGTGCACACCTTGAGACACTGAGAGAAGACCCTAGCGAGGAGAAGCCCCAGGCCAGCTTGTTAGCACAGGGCATTGGAGGCCCCCAACCAGCTCCAAGTTCTGAACAGCACACAAAGGCGTGTACTGCTGCTCATACCCAGCAGAGGCCTAGCACCAGGCCTCCCCATGCAAATCAGTGTCTCTGCAGGGTAGGTAAAGGACCTCTAGCCGTGCTCCCTATGGGGGAACAAATATCCTGTGGGTCACTGAGAGTCTGGAAGATTGCCCAACATTTATTTACTGATCTGTGTTCACCACAGAGCCTAAGGTATTTATTAATATTGTTTCAACCAGTACAAGTGATTCCTTCATTTAGTGGTCATCTCTGCCCTCCATCACAGACTTTTGGGAATTACAAGATGAAAAGGGCCAGATCCTCACTCTGGCATAGCTCAAAGAATTTGATTG